GTCTAGGGGATGGCAACCCGAAGATATTGCCCGGAGTCGGGTCTCCGTATAGTTAAACTCATAAACTGGATGGAATTATGCGAAGCACGAATAAGTCCACCATCCGGAGGAATTCGGAGCCTCTGGAGCGGCCTGGTGGGAGTACCGTCCCTGCTCCCGCCCGGTCGTCATCGAGTGAAGGGCTAGCTGAGGTCAACCCGGCAGGGGCCTCAGTGGAATCTGCTACTGCCGTGAGCCAGCCGAGAGAGGAGGATGCCGAGTCAAGTGATGCGGCAAGGAGGAGCACCGCTGCCGTCTTCGAGTTCAGGAGACGGATAGCCGAACTGGAGAAGAAGTTGCTGACTACCACCGACAGCGACCGGGACACCGCGGACCTCACAACAGATGATGAGGTATGTGTGTGGAGAGAGCAGTGCGAAGGGGACTTAATCCTCGAGCACAGGCTCTTGAGCAAGAAGGGAGAGTGGCACCGCAGGGAGGAGCACATCCCCGGGAAGTTAGAGGGGTGGAGCGATGCCTCCTGCGATTTCTACGAGGATATGGTAGAACCCGGGACCTTTAGGAAGGCCCGCTATAAAGATGATAGGTGCCTCTCGGAGGTCAAGTTAAGCGCCAACGAGTGGGTGCGGGCGATGCGGGACGGGAAGGTGAAATTTCCTCGTAGCGCGGCTGAAAAGGCTGCTGCAGGCGAGGGCTCCCTGGAGTACCCGTCGCCAGAGAAGATCATGGGAAGGAGGGATGGCGCCTCTCGCAGCGTTTCGCGCGAGCCTTCGCGCGAGCCGAGCTGCGAGACGGCTGCCCCCCCCTCCCATCCGGTGATAGACCTGTCTCCGGGAGATGAGCCGATCGACGTGCTCACTCTCGATAAGACGGAGGATGCAGAAGGGGGGAAGGGTGGGCCTGGACAGCCCTCTTCCGTCCCCGACTCGGGCTGCCTGAGATAAGGCTCGAGCGAGTTAATCGGCCCCGGGGATGGGGAAGTCGCCACCGGAGCTGAACAAGTT